TGTTGGTGTGCCGACCTATTTTCAAGGCGAATGCTGTGCTGCCATATCAAGGTTGCATTCCAGCTGATCGCCTGACATTAAAGTGTGTGGGACACAAACTCGCACACCAGTCTGTCCACGCACCAGCATGTGCCTAATAACACGTCCCTGCCCATCTCAGGTCAAAGACATCAAAGCAACACTCACCGGTGGTACTGCCCCAACTGCTGCTACAGGGGGTTATCTCCTCGTCATCAAGGGAAAAGGGTAGGACCTGGTGGATATAGGCATGCAGCAGTGCATACAGTGCTAGAAGCTTGGGCTTATGCCAGTCCAAAACCAGCCTGCAGACCCGATGTTGCTCTAATTTGGCCTTTCTTTATAGGTTGCACTCCATCGGCAGCAGGCTGGCTTTGAAGCCCTATGTTATGTGCAGACACCAGCCAATCCCTCCCTCCCTTGCGCTTTATAGTGTTACACATTGTTTTAGTGTCCATGTTATCTGTATTCTGGATGCTTGGCCCAGGCTCTGGGGACTGTAGTTTAGATGTGGTCCTGTCCTTGCTTGACTCTTTCACTTGCACAGGGCTGAAGCCAACCCAATCAAGAACCCTCAAGTGACAAACCTATATGGTATGCTTTCTGGTGCAGAGGTAGCCTGAAATCTGGGTGGTGTGCGCACTGCCATCAGGGCGACCTTACCATCCTGTGTGTCCTGTCAGTAGCAGAAGTTGCCAGATGCCATCGACTGTAAAGAGCGGCATTGTTTCAGAGTTGTGACTACTTCATGCCTACCTGTTTGTGGTGACATCGACAAATATGTGCAATTGAATCGTAGTATATGTAATCAGTGCAGAAGTGTGCTTGCGTTATAGGGAATCAGGGCTGCACGAAGCAACGCCCCCACAATCGCCATCACTGCGCATTACGACACCTTTGCTGCAGCACCAGGGCTTGCAGTGGGCAGCTCAGACAATGGCAGTGGTGCCCTGGTGCTGCTGGCGCTTGCAAGGATGTTCGGAACTTTGTATGCTGCCCCAGAGTCGGTGCCCAACCCCAACATCCTCTTCCTCTTGACTGGTGCGGGCGAGTTGGACTACATGGGCCTCAAGCACTGGTTGAAGACGGCTGACAACCGTGTGCTAGACTCCCTGGAGTTTGTGATATGCCTCGATACCCTCTCGGATTGGGCAAACCCTGGAGCCAATGAGCTGTATCTGCACTACTCCAAGCCCCCCAAAGACCCCACAGTGCAGAAGTGGTACGACAGGGTTGAGCAGGCAGCAAGGAAGGAGGGCGTCAAACTCACGCAGCTCCACAAGAAAGTGAACCTGGCCTCGCCACAGGCCGCCTGGGGGCATGAGCACTTCGCCCAACAGAAGCTGCTTGCAGCAACCCTGTCAGCAGTGCAGTGGTCCCGTAAGCCCTATGGGGCGTCCAGCATTTTGGACAGGCCGGGCTCCCTTAACCTCACTTTCCTGGCCCAGACAGCCAGAGTAGTTGGGGAGGCCATCTCGATGCGATTGTTCGAAGACCAGGGGCAAGACCTGCACTTGTTCAAGCCTGGCGGAGCCCTGGACGCCAGCATGCCATTCATGGCCCAGTGGGCCAGCCTGTTTGGCCGCACGCCAAGGATGCCGCCGTACTTTGGGCGGGACAGTCCCTTGGAGGGTGCGATGATGGGCGTGTTGAAAGAGCACACGACCAAGGCGTCGAAGCTGGCGTTTCCGTTGGACAAGTCGTACGTATTTTATGGCGGCGATCAGGCGCAGCTGAGCGTGTTCAAGACTGCAGGCGCGGTCTTCGACTTGGCCCTATTTGGGCTTGTGCTGACTTACTTGGCGGCGCTGTTCGTTTCCATCAGAGTTTTGACACAGGGATGGAAATCTTTTGCCGACATCTTCGTGGCGCCCCCCAAGAAGGGGAAGAAGGGTCGCTAAAGACGAAGTCGCCCGCTCACAGCGGCCACAGGATGCGGAGTTGCGCTGTCCAGCGGGGGCAGAACGAGGTAGCCATTGGGGGTGACCGGAAGGTGCAGGGTTCGTTTCCTTGCAGGGAAAGTTGCTTGGTTGAGAGACGGTCCTTGCTCAAACACTGCCAATTGCAATTCTTGTTGCTGTGGTGGCACAGTCTGCCAGTGTTTCGTGGGTAAATGCACAGAGGTGAGCGCTTGTGTGTGCATCGCAACCCCAACAGGCACAGATCCCACCGCCCATTCACACAGCACAAGATACACCCACAGATGCTCATTCACTGGATCTCTCCAGGATGAGAGGTGGAGGGACAGCCGCATCCCTGACACCATGATTCAAGAGACCGCGTGATGCCAGGGCCGATGGAAGTGCAGGAGGGTCATTGGCCAGGGCCCGCCAGCAGTTGGCGCCTTGGGGCCCAGAAACAGCTTCCCCATATTCTGCCTACAATTGGTATTGGGTTGCTGCTTCCGGCCTGCACAGACTCGTATTTTTTTTGCCTGTGGGCGCCCTGTTGCTTCGCTTTTCAGTTTGCTGCAGTGACGTACAGGAGATACTTGTGCCCGAAAAATTGAATTGTCTGCTGCGCAGCTACAGGAGAGCGCTCGTGCAGCAACGGAGAGCGCACGTCCCAAAGAATACAAGCCCTTCAATTCCCACCACCGAAAGAAATTAGACACACGGCAATTAAGAGAGCCGCCCACAACTCATTGACGTGCGCGTATTCGCGGTGGCTGTGTGAAAAGCAGCCTCAGGGCACTGACTGCCGTCAACAGGGTGGTCCCCTCGTGCACGAAAACCGCCACCCACAGAGGCAGGACGCCGGCGACTGTGGGGGCAACCGCAACCACCATGGACCCGAAGGCCAGGAACAAATTCTGCAACAGAACGAACGCAAGCAGGAGTCAGTGTGAGACAGTGCCACAACTGGGCGCAACCGTTCGCACAGCCCACAGCAGGCAAACTACCTGATTTGGCTCTTCAACGCTGACAAGTGCAATTAATGGAACGGCATGCAAAGGATTGTAAAAATGGAATTCCGGTGACCTTCTCGTGGTCCATTTATATTGTGCCATACTGACCTGGATCACGACCCCGCGTGTGTCGTGTGCCAGTTTCAACAAAAATGGGAGGTTGTTGACCCCTTGTCCATTAAGCACCACCACATCAGACGCCAGCGCCGACGCGTCGTTGGCCGTCGTCGATATCGCAACGCCGATGTCGGCGGCGGAGAGGGCGGGGGCGTCATTCATGCCGTCTCCAACCATCATGAGAGTGCCCCCGCGCCGCCCGCCGTTGCTCATTTCCTTGATGAAGGCGAGCTTTTGATGCGGCTTCAGGGCCGCGTAGACCTCCTCAATGCCCAGCTTGGCGGCAACCTTGGCGCCACTCACCTGGGAGTCACCTGGGAAATCGGCGAACAAGACCGTGAACACGGGTGCCATACAGCGACCAGCATTGGGCAGCAGGCGAACGGCGGCGGTTCGCCATGTGTAGGGACACGTCTGTAGACAACTGTGATCAATAGGGTTTTGGCACATTATGAAGCGAACGAACAACAGGCTATGAAACTGCTGGCACAGCGCGCTGCAGCAACCAGCGCCCCAATGAACTGTGGTGGTCACATCCGCGCAGAAGATGCACACCATGCTCGCCCGAATTGTTTTAGAGCAACGCAGTGTCAGTATGATATTCTTGGGCAGCCAGTGCATTCCAGTGGAGAGCAACTACGATTGGCTTATGCGCCAGCGAATGGACAGGACCAAGGCGCCCTCAGAATCTCTTGCGAGGTCTCAATAATAATGCCACAATGAAGTTTGGCAACGGGACCAGAATCACGCCGGAGATGAACACTTCCGCCCCTTGCATCGCTTATGGGGTGGATTGGCGGCGTTTTGTTGCGCTCTGACAAATCCTATCAATGAGATCACCTGTAAGCATCACCACCCTCTGCTTCCATCTCCCATCGTCCCTCCCCTTCCGCCAAGAACCCCTCTGCAGGAGCCTCACTGCATTGTTGCTGTGGCGCTGCAAGGCGTCCTCAAAACAGAAAACTGTCCACGTCGCACGCACACCCTCGCCCTCCACGAGCACCGCCACTATCTCGTCCTTCCCAGCCTCAGACACCACCCCCTGCACCTTTGCCAGCTGCGCCTGTGGCAGCACCTGCTCAGCAAATTCCACAGAGCCAAACACGACGGGGTGGAGATCCCCACCCTCCACTTTCATGCCACCCTGCACACCAAACCCTGGCACCATCTTGAAGTCCACCAGCTCCACCACTGGCAACCTCCCGTTGAGGCTGTTCCCTACCTGTTACAGGGAAGCAGATCTGGCTTAAGTTGGACAATAGATGATTGACAGTTCATAAGTGCATCGAACAAAGACCAGGGACTGCCACACCAAAATCCCATGATCAGCTCAATGCTGCACTGCACTGCCACACTGATAGGACACTGTCACACAAAATCTTGCAGGGAAATAGTCAATAGGCATGGCCCACCAATGCAATTGTACCAAACCAATTTTGCACTGCATTGTCGTTCCCGCTGAACTCAGGGGCTTCTTTGTCAACTTGTACAATTCAAAATCGAGTCACTCAAAAAGTTTGCTCAGGGGGTGCCCATTGCATGACAAGTGGTCACTTTTGCTTCAGCAAAAATACAACAAGTGCTCCTCACCATTGTCACGGCCTGGGAGATGGGGTGCAGAGACCACTGCGACAGTGACACAGCACAACTGAGCGCTCGAAGCTGCGTGGCGGTCTGGAGGTGGAGGCCTGGGCCTTCCGACCGCTGCTTGCTGTGGTGCTGTGGCAGCACAGCAGTGCATGTGAGGCAGCCTGTCGTGAGCGTTCCTGTCTTGTCCAGTCCAACAGTACGGCACTTCAAAAGTGAGTCCAACACAGTGGACCTCTTGATCAGGATTCTCCTGGGCAAACATACAGTGGGGAGGTGTTTGGGTATGCAGTCTCACCACAGGGTTTAACGTACGGGTCAGCAGGCAACAGCACAAACAGCAAGAATTCGAACTTCAACTTGAAAATGACTAGCAAACTTTCAAACACATGCTCATCCCTAGTCCACAAGCAACAGAACAGTACTCGACCACTGCTTGCAATAGCCAACACTCTCTTATCTCACCACAAGCTGCCATAGCGCACAGCCTGTGCAAATTGTATTCAGAGCAGCTCTGTGGCTGCATGACCAGAGAGCCGCCCAACAAACAAACAAATGCAGCAGCCCTGCTCTGCAGCAGCGTGCATACATCAGGTTTGTGTCATGACCTACTCCAGTCATAGCACTTGCAACCTGTTGATGCATCTGGTGTCAGGCGCCAGGCCGATGCTGCACATAAACTGGTTTGCAGAGATGGGCATGGAAAAACACCATACTAGGCACTGAAGGCTGGGCTGGTGGCACACGGAATGTTACCTCCTGGTTGCATTCGCCAAGGCGCAGATGTACGCCAACGGCACCAACACAATGGCACAAGGTGCTGCAGCTGTGCACACCCCCAAAGCCCTGTAGAGTGCCCCTCGTTCCCCAAGGAATGGTATTCCAAGGGCCAGGCATGTGCCCAACACCATGCCAGTTGCAATGAGTGCTCCCTTTGACCACACAGCGATGAGGGAGTCTGTCCACAGCTGGATTTTCGGTTTGCTGGCCTGGCCACACAAGGCAGGGATGCTGAGTCTGCACGTCATATCATGAACAAAATCGTTTTGGGTGGAGATGTTTAACCTAGTCCAAACTAATGTTCAACTAAGTCCACGTTCATTGGAGGGAAACCTCAGTTAGAATGGAGGCACCACCTAGTCCAGCCACATGGAGGTGCGACCCAGTCCAAACTGATGTTCAACCTAGTCCACTGTCCAATACTCTGCATCTTCGGATCTGACTGTTGTCAATGCCATGAGTGGTATGAGGGCATGCTACCCTTAAACCCGAAATGAAAAACTAAACCGTTAATGCCCAACAACTAATAAGACTATAACCCAAACCTTAAAAACCTGGAGCTCGAAAATCTGATAATAAAGGGTATCAGGCATTGGACCAGGTTGAACCTCAATGCTTTCTAGGATTTCCCCCGATTCGCATTAATGTCGAGTTTCCATATGGCCAGACTAGGTCGTGACTCAGTTTGGACAAGGCTTTCCCTCTGGTGAGTGTGAACTAGCTTGAATCTCAATTTGAAACAAGTCCAACCATTTTCCCCGGTTGCCTTGTATGGGCGCAGGCTGGATTCATGCAAAATCAACAGAAACAACTTCAAGAGCAGCAAATTATTACCATAAGTGTGGGATGTGTCCGAGATGCCCATTGATATGCAGATCAAAGCTGCAGAATATGAAGAGACAAGTTCAACACAAAGATTCCCTGACAAAATCCACAAGACCGCATTTTCAACAAAGAGACACTGTGAGCGCGCAGGCCTGCATCAGTGTGGTGTGCACCTGAGCTTCTACAGCCAGTTGTGCAATCTTCGCTGGCGTTGAATCTTGAGCCCTCTGCGTTGTTTGGACAACAAGGATGCCATCTGTGTTCCTGGATCCTGCAGCAATTTCATCACCCTCTTGAATGCGAACAGGCAGTGACTCCCCGGATATGTGGTCCATCATCACAGATGCTCGGCCCTCCACCACCATACCATCAAGGGGAACCTGGGCATCAAAAGCAAATCATTCGACCAAAGATTCTAACACAACTCTGAGAGGGTCACACAACATTCAACACAAGGAAAAGGGTCACATTAGCAACACAAGACATGCATCGAGACTCTTTGCCACATTGCAAGTTCGTATCTATGTAACATACACAACATAATTCTGGCTGCAAACAAGATCCAACAAGAATATAGATGAAGAAAGACTCATTCTGCTCCTAGCTTGTGCCACCGGTACCAAGCCCTCCCAGCCTGGATACAATCTACCACTGAAGCGGTGTTACCTGTTCACCTGGTCTAAT